AATAATAAGGTCCACACGACCAGGAAGAGCTCAGCTCACTACATCTTCATTTTAAGGCGATTTCTAGTGATTCTGAGGGATTTCAGGTGAATTCGAGAGAATTCAATACAATTTCTATTAAACACGAATGAGTTCGAGGGATTTCTCGTGATGTAGAAAGAATTCAGAAGAACATTTGAATGATTTCGGAGATTTTCAAAAGATTTCGAGGGAATGTACACCTGAATTCAAGAGTTATGTGGGACCCCCGTAAGGATTATATTTTTTCTTCTGCTTTGAATTTTGAACTCGAACCCCTGAACCAAGCCGTGGAGCCTGGCACTTCAGCAAGGCGCAATATTGCCTACCCTAACGACGCCCCAGCACCCGAAACCCGGGCGCGGGCGTTTGGAGGTGCCCAGCGCCCAGCGCCGTGGGGTAGGCCACCCATTTGACACGGCGCCCCCTCCACAAACCGCTGCATGCGCCAGCGCACTTTCCGGTAGGCAACCAAACGTACTTACTTATGGAAACACGATAGGAGCCATCCTGTTCCAGTTATCCTTCTTTGTTACTCCAAAAACCATCCCACATTTAAGAAAAAATAATAATTCTATTTACCTGCCAGTTTTCTTTACCTCACCCACGTGTTTCATTTTCCATTTTCGTGACAGTACCATCTCCTCACCTTCCAAGTCAATTTTATCTTTTTGCGGAAGTCTATGACTCTCAGTTGCCTTCGCCCGCCACGCGGATGAAGAGGACGTAAAACACCTCACCTAGGACGAGCCGTCGTCTCGTTAGTTGGGCTTCCTACTTGGCAGGAGCGTCCGTCCATCTGCAGGAAGAGACACACGCGATGGAAAGTCAGTTGGGCTGCCTACCTACTCGGCGGGCGAGCTCCAAGACACGAGCGTTTGCACGCAGCCATATGCCCGTTGTTAAAGAACGAAAAAGGTAGATTTCCCTTCACAGACACATTCAGAACATTGAATTTCAGAAAATGACAAAGAAAGTTGCTTTTTTATGAGACCAGTCTAAATCACTTGAATAAATGGTTGCCCAGATGGGAGAACAAACATAGAAGCTGTTTGCTGTTTGCTGTTGCGTAGCACGCGGCTCGCGCCGTAACGTTTACAGCCTTTCCTCAGCGCAATTCGTATATTGTCAGTCAATATGATTCGAAAAGGGCGTTAGAAATTTGACCCCATACGGTGCGTGCAAAGAGTTGTTACTTTATGATACTCGTGCGTGTGTGTGTGGGTAGGGGGGGGGGTACCAACAGAAACTCAATGGCGCCGCTGTGAGAGCCGAGCCGGTGTGGGGTGCAGTTCACTCTGCGGTAAGGACGGGCTGGCCCGTTGGCCCGTTCGTGACCAGACGAGAGGGCTCTATCCATCCTGCAATAGGCTGTAATAGCAGCGGCGTCTTCACTTTCCGCAAGCTTCCTGCGAACCGAAGCAGAGCGGCTGTTAGTGTTGGTGGCCCTGCCCGTCTCGTGTGTCCCGCGCTCCCGTGTGGGTCAGCTAATTGGATGGGGCCAGACTTGTAGCCATTGGGTGAGTCCAGATCAGCCCCACGCGCGGTTGGAGCTGAGAGGCTACGAGGTCCGCCGTCCGACGTTGGCCAGAGCCCTAGCACGGATGTGTCCTGCGGGCTGCACTCGGCTCCTGATCCCGGCCCTCTACGGCCGAGCGACAGTCAGGCCCTTGCCATGTGACCGTGGCAAGGTTGGGTAGAAGGCCGTATTTGGGCGCGACGCGACGGTAAACTGTCTTCGGCCTGCTTCGGCCAGGAGGAGGTCTTTGCGGCCGAGGAACAACCCCGGGCGAGACAGTCCAACTTCAGAGGGTGAGAGTGCTAGTACAGCGCTCACCGCCAAATGAAAAACACAACAACAAGGAAGTGCACCTCAAACTGATAGGAAAGGACCAGCAGTGTGAATGCGACGGTTTGAGCGGATTGACCTAGTCGGGAGCTGAGGAAAGAGTCACCCATAGCTGAGCCCATAGCAATGGGAGCTATTCAAGTGACGAGCCTTCTGTCGAGGAGCTTTTCGTAGCGATCAAAGGGAGAAGGGTTTTCATATAACCGAAAAGGTAATTATTTTCCTCCGGGCCACGCGGTCGGTGCCGCCGGTGGCGCGCTCTGGCGGTGGCGGTGTGCCCAGCAAATGCCACTGGGTCAGGGGTCGGCGGGGGGGCTGGGCTGCTCTCTCATGATGGATGCGAGCCGAGCGCGGCCGGAGCCGCCTCCGCCCCGCCCCGCTCTGCTCCTCCGCGTCCCGCCCGCGCTAGACTAGTGCTGGACCCGTTGCGCGCGGCAGGGCACCTGCGATGCGACCGCCTGCGACAGGGTGTCGTCCGACACGACGAGGCACACGAGAACAGCAAACACGGACCAGAACGATACTCACGCTGTTGTGCAACTCTGTGTATCCGCTCTCGACCAGAGAGAAATTAGTTTGATTAGCCTTCGCTTTGGGAAGCTGTGATTAGGGATGAAATTTTACGCTCAGCTTACGACTCGCCTTACGCCGCCGACTAATCATACAACTATTATCACAGACTGGATGCATACAGACGAATAGATTCTCGTAACCAGGGCTCAGCGTAGGCAGTACACTCTAAACTTTTTACTAAAAAAGATTGCGTAGGAACTTCTAAGGTTTTGTGCTCTTGTATTCTTGTATATTATCAAGAAATTCCTTTGTGTTACTACACGTTTTCTTACTATTACTTAACGCTGAGTAATACTAAGAAATGTGCACTTAATAATTTCTCCATAGGCCTAATATAACACCTGCACAAAACCTTAGTAGTTAGTTACTAGACGAATTTTCCAGCAAAAAGCGTGAATAGCGGGAGAACGTGATAATGAACAGAGTGTAAACCGAATTCCCGCGCCCCACCACCAGTAACCAACACCTAAACAGAGCCGACACTTACCCATAGACGGCACCAGAAGCGGCCCCGACACATTGTGTCCACATTTGTCTGCGAATAATCGATGCTCCTGACGTCCCAACATGGGTCGCTAAACACCAGCAGCGGTCGGCGCACACAGCAGCGTTCCCACAAGGGGCACGGCACGACGCGCGGCTGCAGTCGGAAGTGAATCCCTTTCGCTCGCACGGCTGCGGCCCGCGTGCGTGGGCGTGGCGCGGCGAGGGCGATGCGCGCGCCTTGACTAAACAGAGGGCGGTTATTTAATTACATGACGCACGTAACTCACTTAGCACCCCGCGAGAAAGCCAGTTTGTTTAAACAGATACGCTGGGTACTGAGCACACTGAGATATAACATGCTGAGTCACCATAGCTCGAAGCGGAGCGCAGTTTACACCCCTGCATGAAGACGTGGACTGCGTGCTAGTGATTAAGTACTACCGAACATCAAGCGTGTACCTGTAAATGCAGTACGCAGGTGATAGTGTGTAACATTTGCCATGCGTGCAGGAGATGCTGAATAACTTGGCGGGTAAACTCGCAGTACCCTATAGGATAATAGCGTATATCCTAAAGGCTACAAGATGATGTGGGTATACCTATGTCCAGGGATTCTGTCTTGCATACATGGCCGTGTGCGCAATACACACCTGGTTGAGATTATGGCTTAGTGTCTAACGATTGGTGTCTCTGTAATTCTGAGTTCAGAATCCAGTAATTCTACAATAATTTTGAGGGGATATTTCCGGGGATGTACACCGACTTGTGGGATTGCGCGTCGCTCCGCCGATGTCAGCGCTTACTGCAGTGTTATCGCGAGCACAAGGAAGCCGCTGTTATCGGCGTGGCGTGGAGTGGCGTGGCCCCGTGCCGTCGGCGCCGAAGGCTGCCGTCCGGAGCAAGTGACCTTAGAGGACGCAGGGCGGCAGGGGGAGGGGAAAGGGCATGGAGAGCATGGGGCAGAGAAGCCCTGCCTGGACAGGCAACGTCAGGCACGGATCTAGCCATGCGTTTTGGCGAGGCCAGGACAAGTTGTGTGTGGCAGTGAGGCGCTTGTCCATTTTCAGTTTTAAAAGGGGCATTTTCATCGAACTTGTCTATGCCGTGACTTTA